TAAAGACTATAACTGTACTTATAAGAAAACAGTTTTGACTGATAAATTTATTGATCTCCACGAATTATTACTGCAAACAGGACACTACAAGTCAATTATAAAGGAACTATAAAATGTTAAATTTTCTTTTCATAGTTTAGGATGGCGTGCTTAAGTAACGCTATGTAATATGCCTGGATAACAGCTCTTCCTTTTTGCCATCTTTTCATTATTGTTCTGCACATGCAATGATATTAAGATAACCTCTTTCAAGGCATTGGCTAATCACACATGTGCCAAAGTTGTCCCTCAGTTTCCACGCAGAAATATTCCATTCTCCTTTAGCAGCAACCCCAGCTTGTGTTTTCCCTGCCCATGCCACCACATCCAACATCTGCGCTAAAGGGAGTCCTTTATTCTAGAAAAATGGCAGAGAGAGACCTTTAAATACATTCATTGTATCTGACATTTTATTTCTACTTACTGATGAATATACATACACTTGACAAAATTTTTAAAAGAAAATCTATGAGGAAAGTATTTTTAAATCCGCTATTCTGGGGATACTGGAGGTTGTCGAAATGGTTCAGGTGTAAACCTAAGAGTTCTCTATGCCATGAAGACTCTGCTTTAGCCTTTGGTACCTTTCGTTGAGTTGGAAAACTTAAACTAATATTGAACTTCGCTACACATTTGTTTTTGTGCTGTTTAATTTGCTATGCCATCCTTATTTCTTTCAGGAAGAATTCCAGAGATCTTTTGCTGGTCAAAGTAAGGGATACTTTTTATTCAGGGTATGTATGTATGGCATTTTATGATCAATATATATGAAAGTTGACTAAGTATTTTCAATGTATGTTCACTGAATTAACTTGTTTTAATGCAGTTTTGCAGTGAATTTATAGACCCTTGACATCCGGTGTCTCAATTTGATTTTACTTCTCACACTACCCTAATGGTTGGAACCAGAGCATCTCTAATCTCCCTTCCACTGCCCCGTGTGTAAATGCTCCAATGACGTTCATTACTCCACAGTTCAATCTCATGATATTTTATGTAAAGGAAGCAAAAGCCAAGGAGTTGGTTATTAGAGCTTTGATCCAATAAGTTGCAAGAGTTGTGACTATGCTTCCAAACTGTTAGTTAAAAATTCAATAATAATAAAAACTATATCTAGAGATAGCTTTGTGACCAGGTTTATCATTTTGCATTTGTATAAATCTATCTCTAAATAGCCATGTTTTCTGCATGTTTCTTAACACACAACCAGAAAGTCAGATATTTAGTAAATGTATTCAACAATTGTTTACTGGACTTCTAATAGGTATTAGGGAAGGTATTAACAGACGGGAGTGAAAAGACAGAGCACAAACTACTCTTACAGAGGACCAGAGCTCAGTTCCCAGCATTTGCTTCCAGAAGCTCACAGCCTGTAACTCCAGCTCCAGGGCATCTAGAGCTCTGTCCTGACCTCTGTGGGCACCTGCATCTACACATACACCAACACACATATATGTAATTTACGGTAAAAGAAAATATTTTAAAAGAAGGTACAGTGTTGGCAGAGGTTTCTGTCCTGCCTGGTCCCACAGCTGTTCAGTCCCCAAGAAACACACAGAGGTCTACATTAGTTATTAACTGGCTGGCCTAGTAGCTCAGACTTTCTTATAAAGTCACCCCTTGATATCTAAGGAGGGTTGTGTAAAAAAAAACCAAAATCAGAGGATACTCAAGTCCTTTATATTAAATGATGTGCTATTACACATCCTCTGTAAGTCTGCTTTGGACGAGAGTTGGGACAAACATCTTACCTGGGGACTGGAGGTGACACAGAGATGACTTTGTGTGCAAGTACCTGAGATTAGACAGGATGAGTTTAATGAAACATTTAGCTGAAAATTTTCAACTTTATCCTGAAGTCCAAGGTGGTGTTCCTGTGGGAAAATTTATATCAGCAAGTTGGAGAATAGACTGGACTGGATTGCAGGACTGGATTGACAAGCAGGAACATACAACATGGAACCACCATGACTTTGGAAAATTAGCATGGTTCGCATCAAAATGAAATTTGAGAACATTTCTTATCGAATGTTGGTTCCCTATAAGCAAAACGAAGTAGTTTCTAATTCATTGTGGTCCTGGCAGCTTTAGCAGTGTCTCAGAACTTGGTAGAAATATATATTTCCAAGTTCCACCTCGGACTCAGTCAATCAGAAACTGCAGCTGTGGGGTCCAACGAGCCCTTTTCTGTTCTGTCCATAGCTTGTCAGGTCACCTCAATGACCTCCTTTATATTATTAGGCTTCTTTCAATGGCAATTACCTCACATTATTAGTTACAATGATTTCTTTCCAATCTATTATTTTGCAGCCACGCAATGGGAAGAGGTCAGCAGGTTTCATTTAAAATGGTATGTGTCAAAAATAGATAAATAAATAAATATGAAACAGCATGTGTTTCACAAATGAACTCGACTTAGAAGTTTCTGTTTGCTGCAAACTAAACCACACTCATATATGCTTCTATTGTTCAATTGCATATATACACTAACATTATATATAAATACTTCAATTATAGGGGCAATGCAGGCTTTAGGAATGGGAAGTACTGGTATTTCAGGGTTAGATTTGCTTTGATCCTAGTATTCCTTGGTCTATGACACAATGGTCGCCATCCAAAGAGATTTTTGGAAATGATGATCCCATCATTGTTTATTGTGCACATCATAAAATTAATTCCTATTCTGTTCGTCAGCTCCACTGGAGCAGGCTGGGATTCACTTGAAGGTACTTCTGTCTTCCAACTAACTCATACTCAAAAAATGTTTATAAATCTGGGGATGTAGCTCAGTTGGTAGAGTGGTGGCCGACATGCACGAAGCCACATATCCAGTCTCAGGACCGGTGAAGCCACATAAGACCCTATCTCAAAAGTGGCGGGTGTTGCTGGGTCCTGAGGTAGCTTTATTCCCGATCTTCTGAGAAATTGCCATACTGATTTCCAGAGTGGTTGTACAAGTTTACATTCCCACCAGCAATGCACATTCCCCTTACTCCACATCCTCTCCAGCATCTTAAGCTATCAGGGGTCTTTTTTTCTTAGCTATTCTAATGGATATAAGATGGCATCTCAGAGTCGTTTTTGCGTTTCCCCGTGTCTAAAGTTGTTGAGCACTTCCTTAAGTGTCTTTCAGCCATTTGAGATTCTTCTGTTGAGAAATCTCTGTTTAGTTCTGTACCCCATTTTTAATTGGATTATTTGGAATTTTGATGTCTAATTTCTTGAGTCCTTTATATATTTTGGAGATCAGTCCTCTGATGTGGGGTTAGTGAATATCTTTTCCTGTTTAGTAGGCTGCCTTTTTATCTTTTTGACTGTGTCCTTTACAGAATCTTCTCAGTTTCCAGAGGTCCCATTTATTTATTGTTGCTCTCAGTGTCTGTGCTGCTAGTATTATATTTAGGAAGTGGTCTCCTGTGCCCATGCATTGAAGGCTACTTCCCACTTTCTCTTCTACCAGGTTCAGTGCAGTTGGATTTATATTGAAGTCTTTAATCCATTTGGACTTGAGTTGTGTACATGGTGATAGATATGGATCTATTTTCATTCTTATACATGTTGACATCCAGTTATGCCAGCACCATTTGTTGAATATGTTTTCTTTTTTCTATTGTATATTTTTAGCTTCTTTGTAAAAAATCAGGTGTTCATAGGTGTATGAATTAATATCCGTGTCTTCAATTCGATTCCATTGACCCTGCTGTCTGTTTTTATGGCAACACCAAGCTGTTTTCACTACTGTAGCTCTATAATAGAGCTTTATGTCAGGGATGGTGATGCTTCTGGACGATGATGGGGACACCCACTGAAACAGTTTACCTGAACTAATCAGAGCTCACCAACTCCAGCTGAACAAGGAAGGAACAAACATAAGTCCAAACTATACCCTTGAATGTAGGTGACAGTTGTTGTATGGCTGGGATAGACTGTGGGGTCACTGGCAGTGGCACCAGGATTTATCCCTACTGCTTGTACTGGCTTTTAGGAAACCTATTCTCTTTGGATGGATACCTTGTTCAGCCTAGATATAGTAGGGAGGGTCTTGGACCTTCCCCAAATTAATGTGCCTTACCCTCTCTGGGGAATGAGGGAATAGGTAGAGGTAATGGGAGGAGGGGAAGAAGAGGGAACTGGGGTTGGCATGTAAAATGTAAAATATAGTTTGTTTTATTTAAAAAAATAAAGTAAAATAAATTTTTTAAAAAGTGGCAGGTGGGAGAGCACTGGACAGATGAAGCAGAGGTTTGAGTGCTTGCCATTTATGCAAAGGACCAGAATTTGGTTCCACCACCCACACTGGGCAGCTCTCAATTTCCTATAATTAATACTAGCTCCTAGGGATCTGACACTCTCTTCTGACCTCCACAGGCACCCCACACCACACACACACACACACACACACACACACACACACACACACACACACAC